GAAGTTTAACACATATTGGACCATAATTATTACAAACATAGAAGGATTTATAAAATATAAATGAGCTAAAAATTTCTACCAGAATGATGGAAGACTACATTCGCAATCACTAAAACAAACAGAAAAAAATGATGGAAATTTAGTCAAAAGCGGGATGATAGTGAAAGGAAAAAAAGTTCTATAAAAAATAAAATCCATGTAGTCGCATTTGTAAAATCATATAATGTTGTTCCTTATGATTAGCACAACCAAAAAAATGAGCTTTCAACTGGAAAATTCACAAATCATATGGAATACTGCAATGGAATTGAGAGCAAAATGCACGTCCAAGGAACACACTGAGCTTTCAACAAGACAACAAGCATCTTTGACAAGAACAATTCATGGAAGGTTGAAGGCAACACAAGGAGAAATAATGGGGTTTAATACTAACACCTACTGAACCATTTGTTTAATACTAATACCTACTGAACCATTCTCCTGATGCTCTACAATTAGACCAATACCTCCAACAACAACAATGCACAAGCACAAAACTCAAAAGAGCTCTGAACTATAACTAAATTCATGCAGAGTCATTTAAATATCTGCACCTTTATGCTGTTGTCTTTTCTCCCATTATTACATGCTTCCGTTGATTCCATAATATGTAAGCTCAATAATCTATTTATTTCTCCCTTTCTATTGGGAGCGATACACATATATGAGGTTACTTGTGTAAGTGCACAAAAAGGAGAACTGAGAATTATTATATGTTTCCAGGCCATCAGGTTAAGCTCATGAAGATATCTAATTGTAACAAAAGCTAAAAAAAATCATTCTTATCAATATAAACACAAAGCAAAGGGATTGCTTAGCACGGTATAAGCATAATACATGTTCTCACAGTAAAAGCCACAATATAATACATATACATAGTAAATCAACAACCCCTAACATGGAAACAGAGACATATTAACCGAAAAAAATAAAATAAAATAAAACAACCAAGCTAAAGAATACTTCAATTGTTCAGCTGAAGAAAGTTTGATCATGATGAAATGTAAACAATCAGCTGAATATCCTGACCTAAACCAATTCATGCCAGGATCCCCCCCCCCCCCCCCAAAAAAAAAAAAAAAAAAAGAGGGAGCGACAAGAAGCTCATTGCTTTTACCTAATACATTAGCATAGAAAGCCTACAACTATCCCAAGTTGAATCCGATATTGCTTTTCACATTAATGAATGGACCGAGAGCAAAATCTAATTACCCATTGTAGGCTGTCTAAAAATCACAACATATATCTTATCCCCATCAAACACCGATGACGGAAGTTACAATTTGACGACTTCCAGAAGGCTACAATTTGACAATCTGACGACTTCCAGAAGGCTACAATTTGAAGACTTTCACGTAGAAGGTTCACAATCAACATCGGGAGTTACAATCTGATGACTCTCATATTTTCAAGGAGCCAAGACGAAGGTTACAAGGTGACAATCTTTGCAACGCTCTAGCAAAAGAGACTACAAATTGACGGTCTCTTCATATTAAAACACAGATATCACTCAAACCGTAAGGAATTTGGCAAAACTAACAGAGCAAACCGAACCCAATGAGGTTGGTTTGGTCGGCTCCGTCTCATCGAGATAGCCGATTTTCATATATAATTCGTCCAATTCCGACTTACGGTTTGAAAGTTATGACATGTTCTTCGCAACAAGTTATGTTCTGAAGTCCGTCTGCAAGATTAGACTTCGTCTGAACATTGGGCTTAGCCCGAAGTTCGCCGAGCCCACCTAAGGCTCACCTCTGCATCCAAGATTCAAAACGCAGAGGTCATGCCCGCGTTCTAAACTCAAAACGCAGAGGTCGTGACCGCATTTGAGATTCAAAACGCAGAGGTCATGATCGCATTTGAGATTCAAAACGCAGAGGTCGTGGCTGCATTCCAGATTCAAAACGCAGAGGTCGTGGCTGCATTTGAGACTCAAAACGCAGAGGTCGTGGCTGCGTTCCATATTCAAAACACAGAGGTCGTGGCTGCATTTGAGACTCAAAACGCAGAGGTCGTGGCTGCGTTCCAAACTCGAAACGCAGAGGCCGTGACTATATTCCAGAGTCAAAACGCAGAGTTCGTGGACTCAAAGCGTAGAGTCCATGCAGAACCCAACTCTGCGTCTCAGGTCCAAAACGCAGAGTTCATCTCTGTGTTCCAACTCTGCGTCTCAGGTCCAAAACGCAGAGTTCATCTCTGCGTCCCAACTCTGCGTTTCAGATTTACAACGTATCGCGGCCTGTGCGTTCAGCCACCCAACATAGGCCCAACTCTGCGTTTTTAGTCTAAAACGCAGAGTTCGGGCCCAGAACGCCATTTTCGGCGTTTGACTCGTTCAAACACGAACCGAACAGTTCCAGGAACCGTTTCCCCCCATAATTTGAGGGATTTCCGCCCCACTTAGGAGCAGATTAAGGGGGTAGTTATCACCCTTAATCCTCTATAAATACTAGAAACTCAATTGAGTTAAGGGATCGGCTTTTTGCATCAAAAACAGATCGCAAAAGGAGAGATCGGCAACCTCTTGAGCAGATCATCTTCAGATCTTGGAGATTTCTCGGATCTGGAGATCAGAAAAGGGGGGTCTTCGCTCAATCTCTGGAGCATTCCTTGGAGCTTTCATCCTTGGCTTATTAACCGATTTTCGGTTCAAATCAATTCTGTTACAGAGTTTAAACTCGTTCTGAGTTTCTAAACTCGATCTGAGTTATCAACTCGTCCGGGGTTTCAAACTTGCTTCGCAAGTTCTCCACAGCGTCAAATCGTGAGGAGGAGATATCGTTCCAGTGAATCAAGACGTGCGGATCGTCAACGGAGAGCAAACTCGACGCGAGCATTCGAGGGAGGCACTCCATCGCCGCCGTAAAGAACCCAGAATTAAACAAAGGGAAGAATCAAATTCATTCTCCTCTCTTTTGTAATCAGGAAGTCCAATTGTAATCGAGATCGAGAGAGTTGTAATCATTCTTTTTCTAAGCAGTTAGAGAGAATAAATCAAATACGATTCTTTCATTATTTTTCTTATTACAATTTTCCACCAAACACCCATCGACACCTAGTGTTAAAGATGCAATCAGACCAAAACTAGAACTGATAAAAATCTAATCTTTCCATCTACACACCAAATAATTTCCCAAAAATAACAACAAAAAAATCAGAATAATATGACCTTTTACCCATTGACGAGATTCTTGAGATCTTGTTCTCGAGGATTTTGCTCAGCCTCTCAGAGACCGAATGAGTGAGGCGAGGTGGGTCGGTGAGGGATGAAGACACGATGAGGGTCGGCGAGGGACGAGGGCATGACGAGGGTCGGCGAGAGATGAGGGCACGGCGAGGGACGAGAGTACGACGAGGTGATTCCGTTCATGGGGGAGGGAGGGAGTTGATTTTACGGGGTGGTACGAGGGGCTGTCTCAAGCGATGGTGGGACGCATGTTGGGTGTTGTGACGAGGGGTGGGGGATTATTTGCGGGTGAGGGGGAGGAATTTGTTGGAAGGGGCGGTGTGTGGCGATTTTTTTCTGGGTGGGTGCGGTGGTGGGTCGGGGGGTCACGAGGGGCGGGGGGGTTGGGGCGGGGGGGATTGTTGGGATTACAATGCTTTAGTGCAGCGGGGGAGGAGGGGGGGCGGATACGTTTAGGGTTTTCGTATTTTTTTTGTTTTTAAGATCAACCTAGAAGGAATTATTCCGTCTAGGTTGAGTTTTTAATTTTAAAAAAATTATTCCGTCTAGGTTGGCATTCTAGACAAATTTTTTTATCTAGAATGTCTCAAACTAGACGGAACAATCCAGACGAAAAATTTCCGTCTATTTTTCCTCAACCTAGACGGAAACTTTTTTTGTCTAGTTTGGTCATTTTTCTACTAGTGGCAAGTGAGTTGTAATATCATTTTTTATTCACATCGTTTGTGGTAAGATTTGATAGTGACCTTGCATCAAAGAATTTTTTTTAATATTTAGAGCACATAGCGAAATATATCATAATCTCCCTGCTCTAATTTAAAAAAATAATAATTCTTCATACTTTCAGTTTTACTTCTGTGATACAGAGAATGAGCTATAAAATTGATTGAGAATATTAGATAATATAAATATGAGTGAAATTACAACTAAAAATTAACGTTAATATGAGCCAAACCATAACTAAAAATTTAATGGGCATATTGCAAATAAATTCATATGCAAAATTCTTTGTGAATTGAATGATCACCCATCTTTAAAGACTTCAAGATACTAATAAATAGAGATGTTGTACTAGATTAATGTGTTTATAACTCACAAATAGTAGATCACGTAGTCACAATCTGGGTTGAATAAAACAATGATAATATTTCATTTGAGAGAGAGATTATTGAGTTGATCAATTTTACGAAAAACTTTGTTTTCCTTTTTTATTTTTATTCTATTTTTATCAATATAAATAATTATGATATTCAACCACGTGTGCATTGCATGTGCATTGAACATGCAAATCAACTAGTATATTTAAAAGAAGGTATAATTTTCTATTAGTCAAATCCTTCATATTTTGAGCTAGACTCTTATATTATGGAAATGTATTATTGGGCCCCTAATTCATAAGCTATTTTGAAAACACTCATTCAAATTATTGAAGTTGCTATTTAGTCTCCCAACTTTAAAGTTATTTTGAAGTAAGTCACTCTCATCAAGAGTAATTGGTCTATCAAAATTTCTACAAGGTCTTGCAATTATCATAAATTGTTTCAAATTAATCCCTTTAATTTCTAATTCTACTGGTGGGACTAAATTGAAAAAAAATCCTTAAGAATTGGAGTCCCAAATAGCAATTTCAACGATTTGAGGTACTAGTTCATAGTAGCTTAAAAATTGGGGGACGTAGTGATAAATTAAATTTTGTGAGGGACTATGTTAAAAATATGAAAGATTTAAGGGTTCAAGGGATGAGGTCTATATTTATCTTACCCATTGAATCCAGTCCGTTGGATTATCGAGAATAAGATCCCCAATTCAAGACCGATCTTTGCTAGGATTTGCTTTGCTTTCGGGAACTGGGATTTAGGGATTCGGCGGCAGGAGGATTGTGCGGTAGAGGAAGCGAGCAAGGAAGGAAAGGAAGGTAAAAGGAGAATAATCAATCGATCGATTCACCAATCGAGACCTGTATCCATCTTCTCTTATTTTCTTAGGGTTAGGGTTTCCAACTCAAATCTGGAATTAGTTCGCACGCATCTCGATCGTTTTATTTCCTTTTCTTTGATTAGGTTTTTGTCTTCTTCTTATTCAAGCTATATTGTTTGGTTAGCCGATTAATTACTTTGATAGTTAATTAGTTATACAAATCAATCAAAGATTTTATCTTTTTCGTTTGCTATACCTCATCAGCAGCTAAGGTTGTGTTTTTTTTTTGTTTAAAAGGGTTTGGATTTTGGATTTTATAAGGGCTTGAAGAAGAAGAAGACGAAGAAGAAGAAGAATGTATAACGGGATCGGGCTGCAGACCCCAAGAGGGTCAGGTACCAACGGATACATCCAGAGCAATAAGTTCTTTGTGAAGCCCCGCAGTGGAAAGGTCGATACCAGTTACAGCGCCGGAGGAGGGATTGGGGGAGATGGAGCTGCGGCAGGTGGTCTTTCTATCAAGAAAGCTAACAAGGACATCCTGGAGCACGATCGTAAGCGCCAGGTCGAGCTCAAGCTTCTCGTCCTCCAGGAAACCCTGGCTGACCAAGGCTACACCGACTCTGAANATCCAGATAACCCAATTATGAAATAGTATAGGCTTGAATTTTGTCACCTCTGTTGGTTTGTGTTGGTCCCTGTTATTTCATGATTTCCATCTTTCCTGTCCTCACCGTGCGTGAAGGGTTGGGGGCTTTAGGGATTTTTTTTCTTCCAGTAGTTGCAAATCCAGAGCAGCTGACTAGAGCAGCATTGATTATCTTCACCCTTCATCTTCATCTTGTAGTGTAATGTCTCTCTCATACGCAAGTAGTATCATGAGGTTTTTCATATCTTCATGTATCTTGTAAGTTGTAACTTGTTCCAATTTCTTTTATCATCGGAATTATAATTCTTTAAGTGACAGAGGTGCTTTGAAATATAAAATCTAGAAAACTTTGAAGTGTCCTACAACGCCTGTTGAGCATGGATTTTTGAGGCTGTATACTTCAGCTTAACTATAGGCTCTATATTATCTACTGGTCTTTATTTTAGGAGAGTTGAGTGGTCTTCTTTCCTTTTTTTTTGGGATGGCTGGTCATTTGTGGTTATTTTGAACTTTTCAGGTTCTCAGATACACAGACACATCAAGTTGCTGCACGCAAAGAGAAACAGCTAGAGACATTGAGGGCCGCACTTCGAATCAAGCGATCAGATGAACCTTCTGAGAATGAAGTCCAGGAACAAAAACAGGAGACTGAAGCATCTAGCTTTCACATTGAAGAAATTGATAGGCAGAAGGATCAACATCAGAAAAAGGATTCAAAATATCATGGTACCATGAATGATGAAGATGAAGAGAGCTTGAAGAAGGGAAATCATATAGGGGAAGATCTCAAAGCTGGGAAGAATTCTAAAAAGGAGATGAAAGAATGGGATGGAAAGAAAGATGATGGCAGAGGAATTAAAACTGTTAATGATAGAAAGGGGAAGCACATCTATGGTTCTGATAACTATGATAGTGATAATAGTGGAAGGCATGAAGGGAGGGGAAAAAGTCATGGGGGTGTTCCTACTCGACATGATTTCCAGGGTGATTTTGATACCAGCGGCAAACAGATCACGAGGAAAACTTCAAACAAGCAGGTGAGAGGCCATAGGTGCCAGGGAACCGGGAGTTCGGATTCTGATAGTTATTCTAGAAAACAAGATGCTAGAAAAAATGCTCAAAGTTATATTAAGAAACGTGGTAGATACAACACAGATTCGGATTCAGACTTGGACAGGAAACGATTCGGGAAGCAACGGACTAATACTAAAAAATCTGATTCTGATGATTCTGAATCTGATGGTAATTATCGGAAAAGAAACAGAAAAGAAAAGGTGATTGAACACAAGAAGCATGGCAGAATGCACAAAGCCTTCACTTCAGACAGTGACAGTGACAGTGATTATGCCATGCATAACAAAGGGCAGGAAAGAAATAGTAGAGGGCATGGTTCAGATGGTAAGCAGGCTGAAGGTGATGATACAAAGGGAAACGTAACAAAGGGAACGGGGAAGATTAGCAAGCCCGGGATTATGAGGCATGATACTGGTGGAAGATGGGAGATGAATGAGAACGAGAAGAAGAATATAAAGAAGGATGTTGCTTATGTGAAGGCAAAAGAAGAAGTCATTGAGAAAAAAAGGAATCAACATGATACTGATGACGAGAGCAGTGATAGTGAGGGCGCAAGGGAAAGGACTCTGAAAGCAAAAAAGTTAGATGGAAAGAAACTGCAAGGTACTAAAAGGAAACACCATGCTGTTACTGATGATAATGACAGCTCGGAGTCTGATTATGGAAGTGACTCTGATTCTGATGATAGCAGAAACTATAAGCAGACACGGCATGGAAGTGGAAAGGCATGTGTTGGTTTAGGTGACAGAGAGAATGAGAAACTTACCAAGAAACACAGGTCTACTCAAGGCAACGGTTCAAGTTATTGGACTGGTGGAAGGTATGATCGTGGAAACGATAGAATGTCCAATCAGAATATTGATGATGGTGTTAGTAAGAGCATCAGAAAGAGAGAAGTCAATAGAATGTCCAATCAGAATATTGATGATGGTGTTAGTAAGAGCATCAGAAAGAGAGAAGTCGAGGAAAAGTTCCCTGACATGCTGGATTCAAAATCTGGAAGTGCTGGTATAAAAGAGGAGAGAAAGAAAGAGGGGGATAGCAAAGGTCATGCAAAGTATAATCGCAGCTCGGAAGACCGAATAATGGAAGATCGCTTATATTCGAATAATCGAGAGCGCCAGACTCTGAAGGAACACTCAACTGATAGTAAGCGTGACAGCAAAAGCCGCCGTGAATATGGACAGGGCCATGATGACGCCAAGAGGAAAAGGCATAAGACTTCTGGGCAGCATCATGAGCGAGGCAGTTACGAGCATAAATACAGGGAAGATTTAGCTCCTCACAGGCGTTGGGATTGAGTATGATGGTGATTCCTAATCATCTTTCGTGATGGTGATTACTAATCATCTTTCATGGTGGTGGTTAGGGATCATCTTTCATGTATTCTATGCCTCTCTGAAGGTGAGTCGATGGTTTCTTTTGAGCTTTCTCAAGTATTTAGTGTGAACCTTTATTCATATATCAAGTCACTGTTTAGCGATATTTGGACTGACCATGCACAGATTGCAAGGTCGCACTCCGTATCTGAATCTATTTTTTGAGGCTCAGTTGCTTGCTTTCAGTTGTACTAGTACTACCCTTCTGCATGCTATAAAACTCCTCCAAGAATACTTGTTATAACTTTAGGGGCTGTTTGGTTCAATTTCTATAAAAAAAAAGGAAAAAGAAAAGTACGCAAAATTTGATTTCCTTGTATTTCTATAAAATTTGTAAGAAAAATTTATAGAACTCAAAAGAGTACCATATTTCTTATTTTTTGCTATTTCTTTGTTTGGTTCAAAGTATGGAAAAAGTTTCTAACTTTATAGAAAATATGTTGTTTTCTTTTTCTTTTGTTTGGTTGGATGTCACTTTATAGAAAATAGCTTACTAACAATGCTCATGGGAAATCACATGGGAAGAGTACTGATGTAATTAATTAATTTTTTAATATATGCGTCAGATTTCTGGGTGATTTCCGTCCGTTTTGAGCGGAAATTGATTTCTATAAAATGGGGTACTTTTCTGTACTTTATATAAAACTTTTCTGTAAATTATTTTTTGAACCAAACACAATTATAGAAATCTCCAGAAAAACTTTATTTACAAAACTATCACTATCCAGCCATTTTCTATATAATGTTCTCTATAAAACCACTCAACCAAACAGTCCCTTACCATCTCCAATGGCAAGACAAATATTGCCTTTCTCTCTCCTTCCACCTCACTTTATTCTCTCTCCACATCACTTGCCTTTTCCAATTGCATTTCAACTCCACAACAACTAGTTTTTTAAAAGTTTTTCACTTTATCTTTCCTCCACATCACTCAACCATATACCCCACCATATTTATTCATCCTATTATTCTAATTTTTATACATTTTAATCATTATTATATTTACTAATATATTTATAATTATAAAATTTAATTTTTATTATGTAATAAATAATATGTATTTTTTAATAATTTATAATTTTCAAAAAGCTTAATTTTTAATGCAATAAATAATATATTAATTTTATAAAAGAAAACAACACACACTATTATTAATGTAGTGGTAAACCAAACATACATAATTTATTGAAAACGTACAAGAAAAAACACACCAAACATACATAGTTTATTGAAACATGCAAGAAAAAACACACCAAACATTGAAAGTTTTTGACATTTCTATTTGAAGGTTGCTCCAAATTTTTGCCAAATGTGCTCGACGAGATCCTTTTTCAACTGAATGTGTTTGGTCCTATTACGTAGATCGGCTCTAGTATGAATATCCGATTCGGCTCGGGCTTGAACGTGAACTTCAAATTGTGGCAACACTTGTGTTTGGACATTGAAAGAGGAGCTAGAGCTAGCGTTAGCATTGTTCGATGGTTCGAAGTCAATATTTTCCCAGTTTCGCGAATATGTATCTCGTTCATCCTCGACTATCATGTTATGTAAAATAATGCAAGCCCTCATTATTTTACCTAAGACCTCAATGTCCCACATTCTAGCGGGCTGGCGAATAATAGCAAATCGTGCTTGGAGAACCCCAAATGCGCGTTCCACATCCTTCCTACATGATTCTTGTTGTTTGGCAAACAACTGCGCTTTGTGGGTTTGGGGCAATTGAATTGATTGGACAAAGACAGGCCATTTCGGATATATTCCATCTGCAAGATAGTAAGCACGATTGTATTGTCGCCCATTGACAATGAAATTCACTTCCGGGGCTTCACCGGACTTAATATCGTCAAATACCGGTGACCTATCTAGTACATTTATGTCGTTCAATGTACCTGGCAAACCAAAAAAAACATGCCATATCCATAAATCAAAAGATGCCACTGCCTCAAGGATAACTGTTGCCGTCCCCTTGTGTCCACTAGTAAACTGTCCTTGCCAAGCCTTAGGACAATTCTTCCATTGCCAGTGCATGCAGTCGATACTTCCAATCATTCCGGGGAAACCACGCTCCTGACCAACTTGGAGTAACCTCTGCACGTCTTCCACATTTGGACGTCTTAAGTATTCATCTTGAAACAAAGCAATTACCCCGTCGCAAAAATTGCGAGTGCACTCAATTGCGGTGGATTCTTCAATCTTCACATACTCATCACATGCATCTGCGGCGACTCCGTATGCAAGCATGCGGATGGCAGCTGTACACTTTTGGATAGGTGACAAGCCCAAATTTTTTGAATTATCACGCCTTAGAGTGAAGTAGTTGTCATAATTTGATAATGCGTCTACAATTCGTAGAAACAATGACCTTTTCATTCGATATCTTCAGCGAAACTGCATGTCGGGTAAGTGCATGACTCGTCGAAGTAGTCGGCCATGAGCCTTTGATGGGCAGCTCCATGATCCCTATGCAGAATTTTTTTTTTGTGTGGTCGTTCGTTTCTATGTTGTAACTCTTCAAGAAGTTGTTGTTGCCTATCGAGTATGGAATTTTCCAACTCCCATTGTCGTTGGACCTCTTCAAGGTTAACCATATTTGGGGGTAGATCCATTGGATGATAATTAGAGGAAAGTATGAAGTAAAATGCTTTGGTTGATATTCATATGATGTGCACTACCAGATTTATAGTGAATGAGCTCCGGATTCCATTCAATTTAGTTAACTAAATTGAATATGAAGATAAGATATTGAGTAGTCATAGTCTTGTCAGAGCTGGTGGGTTGATTATTGATTTTGGAGTGTAATGCAGTGAGTAGTCATAGTCTTGTCTGAGCTAGTGAGTTGATTATTTATTTTGGAGTGTAATGCAGTGAGTAGTCATAGTCTTGTCTGAGCTAGTGAGTTGATTATTTATTTTGGAGTGTAATGCAGTGAGTAGTCATAGTCTTGTCTGAGCTAGTGAGTTGATTATTTATTTTGGAGTGTAATGCAGTGAGTAGTCATAGTCTTGTCTGAGCTAGTGAGTTGATAAATTGAATATGAAGATAAGATATTGAGTAGTCATAGTCTTGTCGGAGCTAGTGGGTTGATTATTGATTTTGGAGTGTAATGCAGTGAGTAGTCATAGTCTTGTCTGAGCTAGTGAGTTGATTATTGATTTTGGAGTGTAATGCAGTGAGTAGTCATATCCATGTCCTTATATTCGTCAGAATGTGTAGTCACACAATATTCAAACAACACTATTATTCAAACAAAACAATTCGTCAGAATGTGTAGTCACACAATATTCAAACAACACTATTATTCAAACAAAACATCGTAATTCAAAACAACACTCTTATTCAAACAACACGCTTACTAAAGAACATACATCACGACAATAAAACACACATTATTATGAAGAACACACAATTCGATAATAATACACGGAATATGCAAACTAGTTCCCAAACAATTCATTCTTCAACATACTATACGCCGCTTCATCTTCATCATCTCGGGCCTCTTTGTTCTTCAAGCTCAACCACATCTCTAACTTCTTATTGCGATTGTACTCCTGGATAGCTGAGACTTGAGTCGCCCTGTATTGTTCAATAGCGTCACGACGAGATGCTAAATCGGACAACTCTTCCTGAATGGTAACCTTTGATTTTCTTGAAGTTGATGATTTACTAGATGAAGCTCTAGCTTTCTTCTTTGTTGCATCCCTACCTTCCGGACGTACAAGGGAATGAATAGCAGAATCAACGTCATCGCTACCACTCTTTCTCTTAGATCCACTACTTCCAGATTCAGTTGCTCCTGTGATATATTTGGGTTGGTGACGAACCAACTTCCACTCATCCAACAATTAAAACTTTGTACCTTGGTTTTCACTGTACAACTCTAGACCTTTGGATATGTAGTCATTGTCTGACCAACCACTACGTCTCTCCCTAGTAGCAGCACTATAACAACCAACAATACTAATCTTCTTGTTGAGGTCACGATAATGACTTTGACATTTTACAATGTTCCTCTGTATCCCACGATCGGAGTTCTCATTCACGTAATCAGAGATTTTGCCCCAAAAAGTATCACCCTTTTGATTTGAACCCAATTCACTGTCAGTACTGTAGTGGAAATAACCAGTTAATAACAACTTGTTCTCTTCAAAAGTCCAACTGGCGTAATTTCCTTTCTTCGCTGATTGTTGGGTTGGAGCTTCAAAACTGTGGGGAGTATCCCCACCAAGTTCTCCCAGAGAGATTTGTGTAGAAAATTGTGGGATATCAGTGGATCCACTACTAAAGCGAGGTGTGTTTGGCTCACTAGTCGGTTCAATGTTTGGAAAATTGACATGAGATGGAAGAGAGCTGTTTCCAGGAACTGGTTGATAGTCATATGACATATAAGGATGATTATACGAGTATTGCATTCCATAATTTGGTGGCATCATATTAGGATTTTGATAGCCATATGACATATAAGGATGATTTTCAGGCCGTTGTGTATTTGGATTTTGAGGTTGCATATTCGGATTTTGAGATTGGTTTGGATAGTTGTAATTTGGGAGAAAGTTTTAGTTCTGTGAAGGATCCATGAAGGATGTTGAAGATGGAAGAAGAAGAAAAAAATGAGAGGGTGAGAATGTGGAAGTTGGAAATATAAGGAATGATAAGAGTAAAAACTTGATTTTTTTTTGTGTCTAAATAACATAAACTCAAGCTCTATTTATAGACCTTGAAAAATAAAAAATAAGGATGAAAAAAAATAATTAATTTAGAGCAATTATTGATATAAAAAAAGTCATTTAAATAATGGAATAAAGAAAAACAAATTTTTTTTGTGTCCAAATAACATAAACTCAAGCTCTATTTATAGACCTTGAAAAATAAAAAATAAGGGTGAAAAAAATAATTAATTTAGAGCAATTATTGATATAAAAAAAGTCATTTAAATAATGGAGGAAAGAAAAACAAAAGAAAAACAAAAGTCATTCAGGCGCGTGGGAGACACGCGCCTGTGGGCTGCTGCAGGCCCAGCAGCGCCGACGTGGCGCATTCTGATTGGTTTGAGGTGTGTTTTTGTTTTTTTTTAAATTTCAGCCGCTGACACGCGGGACGGTTGGTGAAATTTATCCGGTAGGCAAATTTTGCTTTTTCTCTCCCCTACTTTTTATTTGCCTATCCACTTGCTTAGCCATTGCACCAAATAATTGTCCCAATTGTTAGCCATTGCACTTGGTCTTATTGGAAAGCTTTGGTAGAATGGTAGTCGTACATTGTTTACTTATTAGACCAAGTGCAATGGCTAACAATTGGGACAATTATTTGGTGCAATGGCTAAGCAAGTGGATAGACAAATGAAAAGTAGGGGAGAGAAAAGGCAAAATTTGCCTACCGGTTAAATTTCACCAACTGTCCCGCGTGTCAGCAGCTGAAATTAAAAAAAAAAACAAAGAAAAACAAAAGTCAAGTGAGGTGGAGTTGAAAGATAAAGTGAAAAACTTTTGAAAAACTAGTTGTTGTGGAGTTGAAAGGCAATTGGAAAAGGCAAGTGATGTGGAGAGAGAATAAAGTGAGGTGGAAGGAGAGAGAAATGCAATATTTGCCTTGCCATTGGAGATGGTTATGCTTTTTCTGTTCACGTGTTAGAGTTTACTTTTTATGTTTTTCTTTTGTTTTTCTTTCCTCCATTATTTAAATGACTTTTTTTATATCAATAATTGCTCTAAATTAATTATTTTTTTCACCCTTATTTTTTATTTTTCAAGGTCTATAAATAGAGCTTGAGTTTATGTTATTTGGACACAAAAAAAAATCAAGTTTTTACTCACTTCATTCCTTATATTACCAACTTCCACATTCTCACCCTCTCATTTTTTTCTTCTTCTTCCATCTTCAACATCCTTCATGGATCCTTCACAGAACTAAAACTTTCTCCCAAATTACAACTATCCAAACCAATCTCAAAATCCGAATATGCAACCTCAAAATCCAAATACACAACGGCCTGAAAATCATCCTTATATGCCATATGGCTATCAAAATCCTAATATGATGCCACCAAATTATGGAATGCAATACCCGTATAATCATCCTTGTATGCCATATGACTATCAACCAGTTCCTGGAAACAGCTCTCTTCCATCTCATGTCAATTTTCCAAACATTGAACCGACTAGTAAGCCAAACACACCTCGCTTTAGTAGTGGATCCACTGATATCCCACAATTTTCTACACAAATCTCTCTGGGAGAACTTGGTGGGGATACTCCCCACAGTTTTGAAGCTCCAACCCAACAATCAGCGAAGAAAGGAAATTACGCCAGTTGGACTTTTGAAGAGAACAAGTTGTTATTAACTGGTTATTTCCACTACAGTACTGACAGTGAATTGGGTTCAAATCAAAAGGGTGATACTTTTTGGGGCAAAATCTCTGATTACGTGAATGAGAACTCCGATCGTGGGATACAGAGGAACATTGTAAAATGTCAAAGTCATTATCGTGACCTCAACAAGAAGATTAGTATTGTTGGTTGTTATAGTGCTGCTACTAGGGAGAGACGTAGTGGTTGGTCAGACAATGACTACATATCCAAAGGTCTAGAGTTGTACAGTGAAAACCAAGGTACAAAGTTTTAATTGTTGGATGAGTGGAAGTTGGTTCGTCACCAACCCAAATATATCACAGGAGCAACTGAATCTGGAAGTAGTGGATCTAAGAGAAAGAGTGGTAGCGATGACGTTGATTCTGCTATTCATTCCCTTGTACGTCCGGAAGGTAGGGATGCAACAAAGAAGAAAGCTAGAGCTTCATCTAGTAAATCATCAACTTCAAGAAAATCAAAGGTTACCATTCAGGAAGAGTTGTCCGATTTAGCATCTCGTCGTGACGCTAATGAACAATACAGGGCGTCTCAAGTCTCAGCTATCCAGGAGTACAATCGCAATAAGAAGTTAGAGATGTGGTTGAGCTTGAAGAACAAAGAGGCCCGAGATGATGAAGATGAAGCGGCGTATAGTATGTTGAAGAAGGAATTGTTTGGGAACTAGTTTGCATAATGTGTGTTTTATTGTCGTGATGTATGTTCTTCAGTAAGCGTGTTGTTTGAATAAGAGTGTTGTTTTGAATTACGATGTTTTGTTTGAATAATAGTGTTGTTTGAATATTGTGTGACTACACATTCTGACGAATATAAGGACATGGATATGACTACTCACTGCATTAAACTCCAAAATCAATAATCAACTCACTAGCTCAGACAAGACTATGACTACTCACTGCATTACACTCCAAAATCAATAATCAACCCACTAGCTCCGACAAGACTATGACTACTCACTGCATTACACTCCAAAATCAATAACCAACCCACTAGCTCAGACAAGACTATGACTACTCACTGCATTACACACCAAAATCAATAATCAACCCACTAGCTCAGACAAGACTATGACTACTCACTGCATTGCACTCCAAAATCAATAATCAAACCACTAGCTCAGACAAGACTATGACTACTCAATATCTTATCTTCATATTCAATTTAGTTAACTAAATTGAATGGAATCCGGAGCTCATTCACTATAAATCTGGTAGTGCACATCATATGAATATCAACCAAAGCATTTTACTTCATACTTTCCTCTAATTATCATCCAATGGATCTACCCCCAAATATGGTTAACCTTGAAGAGGTCCAACGATAATGGGAGTTGGAAAATTCCATACTCGATAGGCAACAACTTCTTGAAGAGTTACAACATAGAAACGAACGACCACACACAAAAAAAAATTCTGCATAGGGATCATGGAGCTGCCCATCAAAGGCTCATGGCCGACTACTTCGACAAGTCATGCACTTACTCCGACATGCAGTTTCGCCGAAGATATCGAATGAAAAGGTCATTGTTTCTACGAATTGTAGACGTATTATCAAATTATGACAACTACTTCACTCTAAGGCGTGATAATTCAAAAATTTTGGGCTTGTCACCTATCCAAAAGTGTACAGCTGCCATCCGCATGCTTGCATACGGAGTCGCCGCAGATGCATGTGAAGATTGGAGAATCCACCGCAATTGAGTGCACTCGCAATTTTTGCGATGGGGTAATTGCTTTGTTTCAAGATGAATACTTAAGACGTCCAAATGTGGAAGACGTGCAGAGGTTACTCCAAGTTGGTCAGGAGCGTGGTTTCCCCGGAATGATTGGAAGTATCGACTGCATGCACTGGCAATGGAAGAATTGTCCTAAGGCTTGGCAAGGACAGTTTACTAGTGGACACAAGGGGACGACAACAGTTATCCTTGAGGCAGTGGCATCTTTTGTTTTATGGATATGGCATGCTTTTTTTGGTTTGCCAGGTACATTGAACGACATAAATGTACTAGATAAGTCACCGGTATTTGACGATATTGAGTCCGGTGAAGCCCCGGAGGTGAATTTCATTGTCAATGGGCGACAATACAATCGTGCTTACTATCTTGCAGATGGAATATATCCGAAATGGCCTGTCTTTGTCCAATCAATTCAATTGCCCCAAACCCACAAAGCGCAGTTGTTTGCCAAACAACAAGAATCATGTAGGAAGGATGTGGAACGCGCATTTGGGGTTCTCCAAGCACGATTTGCTATTATTCGCCAGCCCGCTAGAATGTGGGACATTGAGGTCTTAGGTAAAATAATGAGGGCTTGTATTATTTTACATAACATGATAGTCGAGGATGAACGAGATACATATTCGCGGAACTGGGAAAATATTTACTTCGAACCATCGAACAATGCTAGCGCTAGCTCTAGCTCCTCTTTCAATGTCCAAACACAAGTGTTGCCACAATTTGAAGTTCACGTTCAAGCCCTAGCTGAATCGGATATTCATACTAGAGCCGATCTACGTGATAGGACCAAACACATTCAGTTGAAAAAAGATCTCGTCGAGCACATTTGGCAAAAATTTAGAGCAACCTTCGAATAGAAATGTCAAAAACTTTCAATGTTTGGTGTGTTTTTTCTTGCATGTTTCAATAAACTATGTATGTTTGGTGTGTTTTTTCTTGTACGTTTTCAATAAATTATGTATGTTTGGTTTACCACTACATTAATAATAGTGTGTGTTGTTTTCTTTTATAAAATTAATATATTATTTATTGCATTAAAAATTAAGTTTTTTGAAAATTATAAATTATTAAAAAATACATATTATTTATTACATAATAAAAATTAAATTTTATAATTATAAATATATTAGTAAATATAATAACGATTAAAATGTATAAAAAATAAGAATAATAGGATGAATAAATATGGTGGGGTATATGGTTGAGTGATGTGGAGGAAAGATAAAGTGAAAAACTTTTGAAAAACTAGTTGTTGTGGAGTTGAAAGGCAAGTGATGTGGAGAGAGAATAAAGTGAGGTGGAAGGAGAGAGAAAGGCAATATTTGCCTTGCCATTGGAGATGGTTATGCTTTTTCTGTTCACGTGTTAGAGTTTACTTTTTATGTTAACCCAAGATGGCAGGTGACGCTTAATTTCTCCTTCTCTTGCAGGAATGTTAGTAGCTTGAAGAACCTTTTGCAGCTTGCTTGCTTTGGATTTACTGATGGTCTTGAGGTTTATGAATTATAAGCGTGCAGGAACTCCTTTGGTTGGTGCGAGAGCTGAAGGCTGGATTAAGACGTGCTTTGATGCGATGAGAAGAGTATTAACTCTACTTTCACTCGTTTCTGCAACATTAGATGCTTCGCTTTTCTTAAGGTGATATATTATTTTTAATGCCGTTGTACTTGAAGGTCCTCTAACGGAACTCCAGCTTTTGTTTTTGGCAATTGTTGTTACCAGAGGATGGCCGCATGTCATGTCCGTCTTCGCTTTATTATATATTGCTTGTTTGGAAAATTTGCTATGCGTAAACGTCTTCGTATTCTGCGGGTCCGATGATCATGTCAGCTGCCTGCGTCAGAATATGATTGTAAATGTGTAAGTTATTTTTTTTTACAAAATAATTTTTATATCCATAGCATTCAAATTAAATATAATGTTTTTGTAAAGTTAAATTATTGTTGAAAGAACAATAGAAGATAATGTGGCAAAATATGATTGATAAATACAATAAATTAAATTTTTTACCAAAATGGTCAAGATTTCTAACTTCATGCGACTTCTTTATTTTCTAGGAGAAGTTCGAATTGCATTAATTTTCTGGGAGAAGTTCGAATTGCATTAATTCTATACGACAATTCTCTTATATTTTGCTTTTAAGAGTTGAACCAAACAAAAGAAAAAAAAGCATATTATAGAAAATAGGTTTCCCATAATAGATTTTTTTTTTAAACCAACCAAACAGCTCCCAAGGAGAATAACTATTTCTTCGGGTTGATTTCACTCGACCCCCGTTGAACTCTGGGCATTTGCATATAGTCCCAATGAGCTTTGTTTTATTCTACTTGGCAAAATTAGGGGAAACTTTGTTGGTCAAACAGGAGTCACGAAATGAGAGCGAACTATGAATGTAACTTTTTGATAGCATGGGATAATAATGTATATTTGGAAGTTTATTATATATTCATACAAGTATTAGCCCATACTCGTACAGATTGTTTTGACTTTTTTGATTTGTATATATTGGTTTATATGCTTTTTGAACACATTAAAGCTATCTTAGTGTATTAAGAGAGATGATTGATTATATTTATTTATAGACTATAACTTACAGATCATATATTAACTAATACATTAAATTCATATGAAGAAAGAGACAATGAGTACGTCTGTTTTCAAATTTCTAATTTTTACGAACTTTTGGAATTTGAGATTTATCAGGAGATTGTTTATAATTTTTGGATCTAAGAGAGAGTTTGTAATTTTTAGATTTTTAGGGATTGGTTTTAATTTTTTGACCTTGAAGAGGCAATTCATGATTCTCTATAAAGGAGAGATTTGATTAGTAGAATTTTCAAATTATGGATAATCCTAATTTAATAAGGATTCTTAGGTAAAGAAGATTAGAAATGGGGATTTTGATTATTAGAATTTGCTAATTATAGAATATTTTAATTAGATTAGAATTCTTAATTGAAAATAGGATTAAGCATCAACATGTCAATTTCTGATTGATGCATTGCAATTTTTTGACACATAACATGTTTTTCGAGCTTTTAAGAGTAGTTCACAAATATATATAAATTTAAATTAAGGAGAGATATGATTTTGTGACTTTTTAATTATAGATAGTTAAAATTTTATTATAATTATCAAATATCTGATTATTAGATTTTTTTTTTAATTATGGATAATGTTGTTACAGTAGCATTAGGAAAAAGTTTAGGGCCCGTTTGTTTCATTTTTTTGAAGGAGAAAGTTAGAGAAAAGCTGCCAAATCTGACAAAAACTGTCAGTTTTGACAGGCTTTCCCCTTCCCATTTTTGCAAACAAACAGCCCCTTAGGCTAAATTCATGAAATGCATCCCAGCACACAAGAGTAAGGGGAACACGCAGGCGTGCACGTACCAGGCAGGTAGGCACATTTTCCCCGAGATGAATATATGATTAGTAACAAATATGTCAATTTTGTATTTGATGTAACGAAGAAGATGAATCTCGACCTTTAGCTGTCTGTATGTAAAAGGGAAGGGCAGGCAAAAGAAAATCTATGGGGGCAGTTTGAAAAATTAGATTCCATCACTAGCTAGTTGTTGGCCTGCCTTGTGTCATTGTTTTTTTTTTCTTTCGTTTTTCCGCTTTCATTTTTCAGTACCATATATGCACGAAACAAAGAAAAAGATAGTAAGAAATTAAGAAGGGATCGAAGGAAGTAGGTCGTTGCCACCCATCGATTATAACTAACCCTAACCAAGCCAAAGCCTGAGCGTGAGCCTGAGCCTGTATTCCTCCCTCCCTCCCTCCCCCCACGTTGCCCTGATCATATATACCATCTCGATCATCCTCGCAATTGCAAGCACCATTTTCCATCCCATATCCCCCTCCTGACAACGACGTCCATGGCCGGAAAGGGCTTGTGGCCGGGCTCTACGGCTTCCGCACCTACCTCCTCGTCTTTGCCGTAGATTTCTTGTCGTTCCTCCTCCTCCTCCTCTCCAGCACCGAGACAGCAGCCGATGCGCCCTGTCAGAGGAGGCCGATATCCTCCTCGGGTTCAAATCCGCATTGAACGGAGGAGGAGGAAGGAGAAGTGGAAGCCCTACACAAGCTGGCAGGCCGGCTCTAATCCATGCAGTAGCGACAACGGCCACTCAACGTGGGCCAGGCGTGTACTGCACGGGGGCAAGGTGTGGGCCCTCCAGCTGGAACGAATGCGCCTGTCGGGCCAGCTCAACGTCACAGCCGCTCGCGGCCTCCCTGGCCTCCGTGCCGTAAGCTCATGGACAACGAATTTGTGGGTCCCATGCGACATCGCGAAGCTTGGGGCTCTTAAAGGCCCTCTACCTCTCCAACAACCGTTTCTCCGGGGACATCCCTGACGCCGCCTTCTCAGGGACCAGGTCGTTGAAGAAGGTGTACCTGTCCAACAACGGCTTCACCGGCAAGATCCCTTCGTCGCTCACAAAGCTGTCCAAGCTCATGTTCCTTAGGCTGGATGATAATCAGTTCGAAGGACAGATACCAGACCTCGCTCAGCCCGGCCTCAAGCTCCTCAACGTCTCCTTCAACAAGCTGGAGGGGAGCATTCCCCTGACGCTTAACAGCATGATGGATCAGAGCTTGTTTGCAGGTTCTACTACTCCCATCGCCTCTTTAATTATAATCTGATCTCTGTTATATATGCGTAGAGAGGAAAAAAATTAATGGGGGGCAATCTCATATCCCTCCGTACGTTCTTGTACGTATATATATATGTATTTCGCACGCATGTGTATACACACGCACAAATTTATATTTCATGCATGATATATATACGCGCGTGCAGGCAACGACAAGCTCTGCGGACCTCCTCTTGAAGTTTCGTGCCCATCACCATCACCAGGAAATAAAAACGAGTCCCGAGGTCTGTTGATCGGCATCATAGCGGGCTGTATCGCGGCCGTCTTAATCCTGGCCTTGGTCATCATCAACGTCGCTCTCTTCAAAAGCTCAAGCAAAGACGACACCTTAGCCCATCCCGCCACAGGGCACACGGGGCCCAGAACGCAGAAATCTTGGATGCCGACAAGCTAGAGCAAGGATCCGCTGCTGGCGGCGGCGCGTGGTGGTGGGAAGAAGGGGGCTCACAAGGAGGGCCACGGGAGGCTGTGTTTCATAAAGGAGGATAGAAAGAGGTTCGAGTTGCAGGATCTGTTGAAGGCATCTGCTGAAGTTCTGGGCAGCGGGAACCTTGGGTCATCGTACAAAGCGGTGCTGATGGAAGGGCCGTCGGTGGTGGTGAAGAGATTCAAGGAGATGAACGGGGTGGGGAGGGAGGACTTCCAGGAGCACATGAGAAGGCTCGGGAGCTTGTCTCATCCCAACGTGTTGCCCCTTGTGGCCTATTACTACAGGAAGGAGGAGAAGCTCATCATCACAGACTACATCCTCAACGGAAGCTTAGCTCACATGCTCCACGGCG